GTACGTTAAAAGGCCAATAAGCACTAACCGCATACCCTGCTTGCAGATGCTTCAGCATCCTCACACGTCACTGAGACTTGATGACAGGCTTGGGAACAATGAGTTCAGCCGGTGACTGTGTGCTGTTCCCCTTTAAAGAGAGGTACAATGGCCTTGATGGACACTAAAAGTCTACCAACCCTAGATACTCAGTATAGTGACGATCACCAGTCGCATCTTGCATATAGGTAGAGTCAGCACGGCCTCGCATCGCGTTCTGACTGCGTCGGCCACAGTCACATCGGCGTCCGAAAAAGCCAAGTTGGATGGATCGTCATGTGATAAAGACGCTACCTGCTTTGATGACTCTTGGCCTGAAGGTGGCCAGACCTGTGTGCGGAAAGTGGACATGTTTGCCCAACGTGGCATGACAGGGCTCGGCTCGGGTCAATCGGGGTCACACCAAGCGGTCAGCACGTAGACTGGACTGGGAATGCAACCAACTGTGCGTACAAAGGTTGCAGCATGGGAGCTCTGATGGTGGTGCCAGACACTTGATGTGCTCCCGTCAAATTCCGGTTTTGCAGACTTGAAATCGAGTGGTTGGTGGTCTGCTAGAATGTTTTGAATGATTGATTCAATGCTGCGGAATCAGGCTGACTGATCGCTGATTACGGCGTATTTTGTGTTGTAGTAAATGAGTGATCACGCCGACCTATGTAGTCAGGGACAAAGACTACACCAAATGAACCGTATCACCTTTGCTGCCAATTATGTCTGGTCTCAGATCCCATGTCCCGTAGATAAGCCGTCGTTGTAAGTCTAAGGTGAGCAGTTCGGCCGCATCCTTCAAGCCACAGGGCCTGAAATTGCAAAGTGCTAGATCTTCTTTCATGGACAAGAGGCGGGGAAGCTGTGCTTGGGGCATTCCTACAGCTCGATGAACCACGAACCAGATGCATACAGAGCGCAGTGTAAGAGAGATCGGCAGCGGCCAGCTCGGTTAGCCCAGTCGATACGCTCGAGACTCTGAATTTGACTCTCCGGGTGTCAAACCCTGCCACGGCCTCGCGCATTGTACTGCTGCCACGATCTGAGCATCTCCGCCAAGAAGAGTCTAGACTCATCTCCACTCGAGTCACGGTACAATCACCTATGGTCACTGTCAATCCACACAGCAGAAGACGAAGTCGACATGATGTGCAGGCAACGCGACTAACTCGTCAGGAAGGCTTATCATCTCAGCTCTATGGATATGGATTCCATCCACGAGTGCACCTAAAGGCAAGGAGGAGGTGAGTGAAAAGGTCGTGCTTTTGTTGATCTTTCCAGTCCGAGTTCGGTATCTTCGCTGAGAAATCTCCAATAACGGCGCGGATCATGGCAAACCCTTTGGGACAGATGGGAAGAAGGCGGGGTTCGAGAAGCGCTCGCGATTCCGCTTATCAGCCTCTGCCTGTCGCTTCATGGTCACTCTGTTTTGATAGAATGTCCTATATTTTATAAAATTAGTGAAAAGGGTATAGTAAACCCAACGACGTGCAGGTTTGGGGATGACCGACCTGTGAAGCTGAAAGATGCGAGGTTCTTCTTCAGCCTTGGTTGATTCTCCCTCCTAAGATTTCAAAGTTCGTGAGCCTCTTGAAAATGGTCTTGAGTTCGCAACAGCAATCCATCTTACCTTTGTTGCAGAAGTCGAGTCCGGTTTCTTTGCCTGATCTTTCTTGTCGGTGGTGCTGGCCTCCTTCTTATCGTCCGCCTTCTCATTGGACTTGTCTCCTTCTTCCTTTTCCTTCTTTTTGCGTTGCTTCTCTTCATACTCTTTTTTCACCCTTGCGATTTCATCGTCCAAGTCTTTCTTTTTTTGAGCATCAATTGCAGCTTGGTCAACGATGGGCGTGCAGAAACCCTTGTCCTTGAGATGAGAGGGACAAACGTAAAAGAAGTCCTGCATTAGCTCTCAAGCACGTCAGACGATTTTTGTTCTTAGCAGATGTATAAGAGGACTTGGGGATTTTGACTCTAATCTCAGGTTGTTCTTTGCCAGCATAGCGAGTAGCTAAGCGGTGGTGGTTGACCACGTTGCCTGATGAGCGATTAACAACGCACCTGTTTTCCTTCAGTTATCAAGACACTAGTACTGAGCTTGTAACAGATAGCACAAGATTTTGAAGCCGTATCAGCCACCTTCCGGTGTGTATACACGTTTGGGAAAGTTGACATCGTAGGACTGTCTTGGTGCTGGCAGCGGTCGTTGAAATTGGCAAAGTGACGCTCGATGGAGATGTCGCCGAGCTGCATATGACCGCTGGCTTGACGACGTGAGGCTAGAGTGTGGGGCCGTGGGCGCGTGCTTCTTAGTCAGCGTGCCACGTGATAGCCCCTTCAGTCACCCCTACACAGGTGCAGAGCTTATTTAATTGACTAGAATAAGAGTCAGTCTCAAAAAGTATCATTTAAGGGCCTAACTGTTCTGTACGAAACAATAGATCGCCATAATCAATGTGGATGAGGTTGTCTAGGTCACCAAAGAAATTTGTCTCCATCTAAGCTCGACCCACATGTGCAATTAGTCCAGAGTCCAGGCTCAACTACTTCAGCAAGATCATGTTGACTGCTACGGAAAGTGCGACATAAGATATTGTATGACATAGAATCAATTGAGATTCAGCGGTCGATTTATGTATCGTGGCTTTCGGCTTGAAGCAGAGGCTACATTTCCGCCGTCATCAGTTGCCAAAATCTATGCCTCGGTTTTGATGATGAATCAATGTGTAAAAAGAGTGTTAAGCGACACAAGTTTGACAAGCTCTTGCTTAGGGATATTGGTGCCCACAACTCCACCACTCGTTTTCCCATTTCCATTATAAGTTTATAAGTCGACATATTTCGAGGTTCACGAGGGTGCTGTGTCCATGAGGCGCCATTCAGGCGCCGTCGTTGGTTATTGAGAATATGAATCGAGTCGGTAGTCCTTGGTTTTTCGATATTATTTGCTCTGTACTTTGATGGCGTAGTACATATATCCTCCCACTCCAAAAACTATGGTTGCGACTGTCTTTTTGTTATCTCGTGCGCTCTTTGCAAGACAGGGACACGAAATGAGTCTTTGGAATTTACTGACCAACCGCAAGCGTTTCCAACACAGAGTGATTTACAATCCTCTTCGCGATCATGGCGGTATGCACCTCAGCCATCAGCTCGCCAAAGACTCGTGGATCGATGACGGGCATGATAAACTACTCTGATTGTGGAAATGCAAATGAAAGATTATGTGAAGAATGGCACAGCTCAATGCTATCTCCATCGGCTGTAATTAATGACATGGTGGGATGGGCTCGAATTCATACTCCAGGCGAAATGCTGCAACCCCGCAGGGTCGCACCCCGTCCGCGCAGTCTTTGTCGCCAGTACACCTCGCGATCCCTTGATGGGCTCACCATGGTCTGATGCCAGGACATTCAACGTCTGAGACCCTCGTCCGCAAAGGGCCAGCGAGCCTAGAATCAAGTGCGGTGACAGCGCATCGAGAGCAGAGGGGTCTCGAGTACGGAGGTGCTTGCGTTTCGTATCCACGCCACTCGCATTCTTTTTGGCAGGCATGGAATTTGACAGAAGCGTCTATTCACAACTTTGTGGGCAAAAGGCCAAATCCGAAGAAGAGACCTGTTGTCAAGTTGTCGTGCCCATGGGGATCATGAAACACAGAACATTCAAATGCTTGTGTACGAACAAGACAGGTCTGATCGTGCATGACATTGTCGAAACCTCTTAGGCGTGCAATTACTTTGGGTTAACCTTGCCCCCTTACCCGTCAAGACGAGGCCTCAACTCGAGACTTGTAGGGGTTGAAATCGTCTTATTTCAATTGTCCTGCTACAACGGCCCATGTCGGTGAGTTGAAGCATGGCGCCATAATACACCCGCGTTCTCATGTCTGGTCATCGAATGCAGCCTCTCAGGCTGTGACAGGCTGTGACAGACGCAAAGGTGAGCCTACAAATGTTTCGTGAAGCTGACATTGAAATTGGCAATGGCGAAGGATGGCCGTCAATTAAACGTCTGGAATTAAATACCGCTACCTTTATGTTTAAATGATTCAAGCATGTCATGAATGACTTCCGCCAGTATAATTAAAACCGAGCAGCTGCCCATAATTTGCCGCTCAATGATCTCGGTGATATAGTTCAAAATCATACAGGGTTGACAAGGACCCAGGCCCGTGAAAGTTTCCAACCCTCAAAGCAGCAATGTTATACTCGTGCGGTATTCTTCACTTGGCACCCTCCGGGACATTTAGATGTTGTCTACGATTTCGTCCTTGTGGTAAGTTCTGTATTTCCGGGGCACTTGCACGCGCGCCTGGCTGCACTCATGTCCAAGTACAACCTAGCACCAAGACATATCCTCAAGTTAGAAGAGTTCTTATCCTTTTATGACTTACAGTCATCTACACTACATATTTTGTGAATTAATATGTATTGAATTGTAATCTGAGCGTGTGTCAATATCTTTATCAGAATCTGGACGAGATCCCCTGACAAGACACTGCAAATGAGGAGGCAGACGAGATACGATGGTTGAGTGATCCAAGGAAACTAACGGTCGGGCCATGCTTCATATACCGGTTTTTATATTCCCGGGAGGTCTCAAAGTATTAGCAGAAATGCCATGACAATAATTCTGACAAGTATGAATTAAAGAATGGTTTCTGGTGGGCTTTGTCAATACCAATTGGACTGTCTGTTTTTCATCGCCGAAGATCTTGGGCTGGAGCAAATCAGTGTTCACCCACAAGCGGTTGCGGACTGAAGGGTTCGAAACACACGTCCAATTTCAACAGCGCAGCCTGCGAACAATCAACACTGGACAGAGAATGTACTGCAGGCTTGAATTTGTGGGGCATCCATTCCCAAACACATGCACACATGCAATGTGTGCTCGGGGAGGTAGTGCTGTTGTTACTGTGCTGGCAAACTGTCTATATAATACCCAGAGATCAAGTCGTTTCAACAAAGACCGGCTCAATGGTCTAGTCGCATGATTCGCGCTTCGGGTCTCCCCTTACAAGAATAACTTGTGAGAACGGTTGCGCGAGGTCCCGGGTTCAATTCCCGGTTGAGCCCAGAAGCATTTCTTTTTCCCTTTTTCTCTCTTCACCTTTTCCAGCGTCTTTTTGCTGATTTTTTTTTTTTCCTTTTGTTATTTCTTTTTAATGCTGCCCTAAAGATATTTGATCGTTCCATTCGCAGGTTGACCTCAGTCTTTTTCTTGCATCGTGGGCGATGCAACAAAGTGTGGCCTTGAATAAGACGTCTTCACTGTACAAAAATCGGAATCATATCCCCTTGTACAACGCGTCATGAAGTGAAGGGCTTTTCACTATTGTCAAATTATCTTGGACTATGTATGTATAAACTCGTCATGACGGGAACATCCACTGAGAAATTCTGCAATCAAGTTAGTTGTACACAATTATGCCTCGTTCCATCACCCGGCACATGCCACGCAGCTACCTTCTCCTTTTCCCACCGCCCAGGAGACCGCTCACATCGCTCACCTTACCCGTCACCTTGTTACTCACCGGGTTGACTACCAAATTTGCCAATGCGATTTCGACGATTTGTCTGGCAAACATTGTGCCCATCATACCCTTGGGCTTGATAAAAGACTTGGACACCAGAAAGTCGGTCACAGCGGCCGCAAGGCCCGTAGCAATTGTCTTTGGGATGCGCTGCTTCCACGGCATTTGCGTGCCCACGGCGACCTTGATTGCTGCCACGGCCGCGGCCTCCATCCCAACCTTTTTCACCTGCGCCATGTCGACGCCCTTAATGATGCGCTTCGTGAAGGTCTTGTACCACGCGGCGTTGAGGTCTGCCGCATCAGCTTGGAGTTTGCCGCGAGGTGACGACGGCGATGAGGGGGTTGATGACGTTCTGGATTTGACGGTGTGTTGTCGAGTGCCCTCGCGCGGTTCTGTCTCCTCTGATAGTGTGTCTGACCTTTTTCGTTGACTGCTTGGCGAAGTGGGTGACTTGAGGTTTGCATCCTTATTTGGAATGCCCAGTGACCTTGTATGACTTGCAGTTGGTGTTCGCTTTCGTGCATGCTCCGTCGGTGTTTCCCACCCTTCGGACTGCTCCGATGACACAGGCGACAGCGTACGCCGATACGAATCCCGTCGCCGTCGAGTAGGCTCATTGTCGGACTGGCGGCGAGATGAGTGCCGCGGCGAGCGGTTGCTCTTTTCGTTCACAGAAGGTGAGGTAGGGCTGCGAGTATGATCATCTCGAGGACTTCGCTCGTCACGGCCACGACCTCGGTTGGACTTTGAGCCCTTGTCACTGCCAGCTCGGTCCTTTGTCCGTGGCTCTCTGCCTTGTGATATCTGGCGGATATGCTTATCACGAGGACCGTCATCGCCTTGGAAAGAAACTTCCTGGTATTCATCGTCTTTGAGCGTCAGGTAGTATTTTGCTTTGGGATCGTAGTCGTCGGCATCGGCGTCAGAGGCGGAACCACTGTCATTGCTGCTCACATGCCGCCTGTCTGCTCGGCCCTTTCGCGTGCGGCGATCTGGGTCCCGGGCATGCTCGTGTCTTGGAGCTCTGGACGGGACGGAGAGGTCCCTGGGTCTGCGTGTCCGTGGAGACCGTGGCGACAAACCTTGCGTCGATGCTCTGGAGCCGTAGTAGCCGCTATCGACGGACGAGTTGTCGTAGTGGGAGTCTGAGTTGGATTTGCGATGGCGAGGTTTCCACAGGTCTGCATCGCTATCCCCGCTGAGGTGGCTGTGATTTGGTCTCATGGCCTAAAGGGTTTGTGACTGTTTGCAAGGTTTGTGTGTAGGATGTATGTTATGGCAACTTGATCAGTGTCAATGGTTTCTTGAATCTTGGGCTATCTGTTTTTGGCGATGTTGCTAATTGTGGTTGATGTTCCTCTTGTTTAAGTTTTGCCTCTGAGAGTGGCATTGATGCGGTTCGCGAAGAAAATCAACAAACGGAATTAACAGCAGAACCGCATTGAAACAGAAATCGAACAGACCATCTGAAAGCAAACATTAAGAACGACTTCCAACCTGACTGAATTCGAGCACACCACACCGGCCAGGCGCCCTTGAGACGCCCCAGCCCAAGCCAAGGTCAAGTAGAGACGTCATCGGGCTGGGGTTGGGTGTTCAGTGAGAACATCAAGTAAATAAAGTACTTGGGTGACACCCACACGCCCCCTGGTCAGCAAAGTATCACAAAATTCAGGGCTCACCTGCTTGGTCTGCAAAACAACCCTGTATCTGCTGATGTATCCAGCCAGCGACATTGTAAAATAACCAGCCCCGTCCTGGCGCTGAAGGGTCAAATTCCAGCCCTTTTCCTTCGAGGCATCAGGCTTAGAATCCTAAAGTGTGGCATCCTTTGCTTTCGCAAGCACGGTGAAGTTCTTGCAATATATATGCTCGCACGTTATGCTCGATCCTACAACTGTCACCAAGATGGTTCCACGAGACTCTTGCGTGCTGTTAAAGTCAAGTCTCATTCGATCTCCCTAAGGGACGGTTCATTCAACTCGCAACTATGTAACAAAGCGTTGAATACATTGCGAACATAGCTCTATATTGATGGCCTTGATGGTACTATGAACCGTCATGTCTTATCTCTTCCTGCGCGTTGTGGACGCCGCCTCATGTTCCCAACGCGTCATTGGCTCGTCGTCTCTATTTTTCGCCCCAGTCTAATCGGGCGTTTTTGAAATCGCGCCCGGCTTATGTGAGATGTAACACCATTCTTTTTCCACGTGACTTGCGAACCACCCAGTCTCAAAAGGCGAAAGTGGGACAAGCAAGTCTGATAGGTTCGGAAAGGATAGAGGCAAGACCCGTTACCTAGCCTGGCATCTCCGCCTTCAAGTCTCACTGATGGTCTTCGCGCAAGTCGACAGACCTCTTCTGTGCAGCTGCAGCGTCACCTCCCGCAGTAGTAGCCGTGGCAGCGGCAGTCTGGTTCTTGTTGTGCTTCTTGCGGCTTTCCAGTTGCGGCAAGTCTGGTGATCGCTTATCTGCGGCGGCAGCTGCATTTGTCTGGTTCTTGTGGTTCTTGCGAGCCTCCAATTCGAGTGTTTCCGCCCGCGCGGACAGGTTTTCGGATCGCTTGTCAGCGTTACTGGTCGTGTTAGCAGCAGCAACAGCAGCAGCTGCTGCGGCCGTCTGGTTCTTGTGGTTTTTGCGAGCCTCCAGATCGAATGTTGCACCACGCTCCAATAAATCATCAGAGCGTTTGTCAGCATTGCTAGTCGCATTAGTAGCTGCGGCTACCGTTGCCGTGTTGTTGTTGTTGTTATTGTTGTTGTGATTTTTGCGTGCTTGTAATTCAGGGCCTTCAGAAAAGTCTACAGAGCGCTTGGAAGCGGCTGCGGCGGTGGCTGCCGCTGCGGCTGTTTGGTTGTTGTGCTTCTTCTTGCGCTCTTCGAGGAGAACTGCTCTAATGGCCGCCGAGCAGTCATCGGCCGTACATGGGCTCCTGTCCTCGAGAACTGGTTCGGTGGGCTAATTTGATTCATTGATGTCAGCCATCAGACCCTGAAAGATTGCCATCTCGCCTAGTATTGCACACCGAGGTATTGAGTGTACGACATACCAATGCATGGGCCACACCAAGAAGAGCGATCAAGCTGTAAGAGAAACGCATTTTGATGATTGATTATGATATTTTGAGGGCGTGTGGACGATAGAATTAGAATGAGGAATGTGATAGAGCTGCTCAGACCGGCTGATGCGTTGTTGCGGCTACTCTTTGGTGAGCTCGGTAAAGTGATGAGAGAGATGCGAGAGGGAATGAGAGACAACATGATCCATCAGCCAGTCTACTCGCGATTTATAACTTGTCGGCACCTTCACTTAAAATGCGATCCGTTTCGAAGCCTGGCCATGACGACTATCAATTGCTGGACCATCTCCCCTCTTTCACCATGGATGCCGGTTGCTTGCCAGGACCAAAGAAGCACAAAACTCCACTCTCGATGGCAAACTTGGAGCAAAATACCTGAGAAATCGTGAATACAAACCATTTAGTTGGGTCTCGCCTTTGAACAACGCGTTTCGAGGCCTTGAAGCGTGCTTCATTTTGATAGCCGGGCAGCGCAGTCGCTGAAGAGTGAACATCAAGACCCATCAAGTCCTCAACACTCGTATCCTTCGCTTGGTTACAGCTGGGGAAGGCCTGCCAGTTTTCAACTTCCCCTTAAGTGCTGGCGCCATCGGCCCTTCCTGGACTCTAAACAGAAGCTCAAAATAAACTTGAGATGCGCTTGGGACCCACCCAAATTGTATCAAAACCGGCAGAGAGTTGTGACGAGAAGGTGTTACAGAAGTGCCTCAAGTCCAGGCCTTGCTCCGCCAAGGCCGCAGGTTCGAGATGGCAGCGGTAGAAGTCAGTGACTGTCGATTTGCAGTGGGTCAGTAAGTCGTGAATGCAAGCACTACCTTGTGCAGGTCTACACGTCCCAGTCCACTCAGCCTTGGATCTGACTGACTTAGCGATGATAGCGTGCCTCCAAGGTTTCGAGCTCTCGATGCGTCTAGACTCCTGGGCCGACTGAAGACTCGTGGTGCAATTTCGCTGCGGCGCAAAAGCAATCAAGCCCAATAGTTCACATGGTCAGATATAGAGCGGAGTGCCCTCTTTCTGTCTGTCAGCGCTTCTCTGTCGAGCCGCGACTGGATTGCGGTGTGCAGAGCGACCGGACGGCTGCTTGCGATCTTGTATGTCTATCGCTCGTGTATCTCAAATCATGCCAAGATTGGCCCGAAAATACGAGGATGATCTTCATCTTTGGGATTCATGATAGTGCAGTAGAGGGCCCGAATAAAGAGGTCCGGACTGCTTGTTGAATGTTCTTTGACACCGAGGAACGTCGTTTGCGCCCAGCTGGCAACTGCATGAGCGTCAATATCGCGAACGACGAAATCAGATACTCTGCTTCAGTGAAGAAAACCCCGCTCAAGCATCCTTGACACATCTGGCGACTACTTTATTGGTAAGAGCATGGTTGAGAGCGAAAAAAAAAAAAAAAAAAAAAAAAAAAAAAAAAGAAGCAACAATGTCTCGTGGTTGCTTCAATTGCGGTT